ACACACACACACACACACACACACACACACACACACACACACACACACACACACACAAAGAGTGCTTATTTTGGGTCACTTTTGCCAGTACCAACCCTGGGTAAAGGAGGAGGGTTGAAATTGTAACATTAAAAAAATAATTGCTGAAAGAAATTAAATTTTAGTTCTAAATATATTCGAAATGCATGTAGGGCGTTCTTTACTGGCTTAATGTCTCTTCCACGATGTTATTTCTCTCTCTCCTAAAGCGTCAGTTACAATTACATAAGCATGACCAATTATGCAAATTAGGTGATGACATCATTTTGTGACTTCTAGTGACTTTTAGGACAGCCAATAGCGATTTTCCTTCCCGAGGAGTTGGCAACACTGCCTTTGCCTACAAATCAGGCTTAAACTTCTCTATGTGTTTGTTAAAATGTCTTATATATTATCAGAACTGATTTAAAAGACCAGTCTGAACAGATGGCCAGAACAATAAAAGTCAGGTTGTTTGGCTGAGGCTCCCTAAAGCCTGTGTTACTCGGTTGCAGACACAAAAAGCTGGAGACCTGACGGTGGAGTGGGGTCTGCTTGAAAAGTCTCCACGAACTAGTCCACATAGTCATAAAAAGAACAACAGTCAGGCTCGTGGATGTCCATGAGTCTAAAATCCGCTTCACATTTTTCACTCAGTTGTTCACAAAGTGGGATGAAACGTTCATATCTTCAGTGCACAATTCCTCCTTCAAACCACGGGGATAATGGTTTTTGTTGTGTCTTTTTTTCTCTCTGTCAATCAGTGCTTTGTATTTGTCTCTGTCCTTCCTCTCCCCAGTCTTCTGTCTTTAGTTTCTTTCTTTCTCCCCCCTCTGTCTCTTCTCTATCCATTCTCTCTTTTTCTCTGTCACTAATTTGTTTTTGTTTACATCTCCTCCAGTTTTCTGCTCAGTCAGCCTGTTTATATCTGTTCCATTTAAACATTTTTTTCTCCTGTGGATTTGACAGAGCAAGCCCCTGCAGGGGGATAAAAACAAACTTTGACCAAAAAACCCCACAAAAAACCAAACATGAAAAAAGATTTTTAATCTGTGGAATCTAAATTGAATTGAATTGAATTAGAGGCTCGTCTTTCACAGAGTCGCAGTGAAATGAGATCGTGCTGCTGATTGCAAATTAGAGACGTTTGGCCACAAACTGGTTTTACAGATGGAACAAGTCTTTTACATGCCATCGTTCATCATGGCGGGACTGTGGCAGCAAACGCACACAGTTGTATTACTTGTGTTTACAAAGACCTAAGCTGCCTATGCATTATTTTTAATTTCACCTAATTTAATCAAAACTCAGACATGAAACCTTTTAAGTATTTTAGTAAAATGCATGAAATAACTGGCTAGTATTTGCCCAAAAAAAGCACCTATAAAATAGGGATGGGTGTTGAAGTTTTCCTTGACTTTATTATAATCGTTGATTTTGCTTTTTGATCAATTCTCGTATTGATTCCTGAGCAGTTTCGTGCGTTTGTAGGAAAAGTAGATCTGTAGAAACAGAAACGAGGCTTGAATATGATTCAGCAGGGTTTTTCCTGGCCCACAATGGGCATTTGTGGACTAACTACATACCAGTAAGCATGACTCTTGCATACAGTAAAGGATCTGAGTCACTGTTACCTTCTTGATAAACATCTGTTCCAATGAGTTCAAAAGGATAGCGCCTAGGGGGGAATGATCCAAAAGATACTGAAACGATGACAAAAACCCAATACTGTAACAATATTTATGCTTTCTCCTGATAATATGGCAATAATATTAATACATGCACCTGTGCTTTGAGTGAATAAAACCTATAAAAATGGATGGTAAGGATTTCTTCATAACACTGTCAGGGAGAGGGGATTTTTCACAGTTCTAACAAAAAAAAAATCCTGAAAAGGTGTGCAACAGCTCCTTTGGTATGAGTTTAACATCATTGTTTTGCAATGTTCAGCATTCAGGGAAACACCTACACTGATAAAAACACTGATAAGCTTGGAGACAGACAATTACGAAAGAGTGGACTATGTGGAACAGGTTCTCAACTCGTCCTGGTTCTCATGTTTTTGTGCAAAAATTCCTCACAGTGTTTTCTTATCTCATGGGGGAGAGGTGAACTTTTGATAAAATGGTATTCTACTGCTGCTAAAAACACAAGATTTGGACAACAAGAATATTTAAATTACAATATATAACCTTTACTCTGAAGGCAAACACCCTCCATTTTGGAGACCACTCTTCCACTTTTCTCAGTTTCACTGCTACTCGCCAAGTGGTTTGAAGTAGTTGTTGCGTAGGTGCAGATCAGTCAGAGCCCCTGCCTGACTGAAGGTCGTGGGTTCGACTCCACTGAACGGCTACCCTGAGGTACCCCTGAGCAAAGTACCGTCCCTACACACTGCTCGTTGAACCCAACCTGCTCTGGAGTAGAGAGAGCTTTAGAAACGTGTGGGTTTTCAAAGAAGAAAACAATGAGAAGTCTTGATGGAAAACATCCTTAGTTTCATTTGACTTAAGGACAGGAAAATAGGCAAGTGTGTCAACACTAACCCACAGTGTGGCCACATTTTAGCAAATAAAAGACCTGCCCCAGTCCTGTTTTGGCTGGCTTGGTTTTTCAGACAAATAAATCCCATTTTTTTTCTTTCTTTCTTTTTTTTTTTTTTTTTTTAAAGAAAATGCATTTGTATCATTGTTTTTGTGGCAGGCCAAAAGATTTCCTCCAGTTTAAATACTGTCAGTAATAAAAGCTGAGGAACGGCCAAAGAAAACAGCTGATTTTAAATGCAGGCAGGCCAGTTTTCAGGGCAGAGGTTTGGTTTATGTTTGGACGTGTCAGACATTTAGATATCAGTCAAATTTACATCTGAGTCCATTTTTAGTGCTTCAGTTTAACGTAGGGCAGCTGAAGAAGGTGAACCTATTGCTTCCTAGGAAACAGATGACCTTTAAACACATTTTCTTAACTATGTAAATAATGTTGTACTTCAACAAAATTGGAAGGTGTGACCTAACAAAGTTTGGACAGAAAAACACATTCAGTAAATGTCTTTTTGTTTCGTTTGCCTAAATTTAAGGCTTATTTTAAAAAAATGTTTATCAATCTCACTATACGTATATGTACATATACATACACTAGACAGGTCAACTTAGATTATTGAGACATTTTCTCACAGTTTTCATCCTGGGCAATGCACTGCAGCGGGATACCGAAGAACGAGGTGTAGGAGTCGTTGTACCAAACCAGCAGCTCTGTTCCTCTGGGGATATCCATACATGCTCTGTAGAAGATGCAGGATCTACAATACAGACACAGGCATGTTTAGTTTGAAAAGTGCATCAAAAGTAAACTTCACCACTCTCTCTGGTCATGTTGTCACTTTTAAACTACAATGCAGGGTAGACATTTAGTGCAGTTTATTTATTTATTTATCCCAACATGTAGTGACATTTCTTGGGAGTTGCAGGGAGTGCATAATTCAGGCATTCATCCTGAAAAAATAAGATGTTTTACTTGAGAAGAGCTGAAGGAAAACCAAAACATTCTCTAGCTGAATCGAAGTTAAGAAATAAACACTAAATAGATAAATGTAACCATTTTGATATATAAACAAATTCATTCATTGGCAAACCTGAGAACTGATTTGTGGATAAAGTGTGATGTTTCAAAAATATATAATTGAGCTTTGCAAGAAAATTACAATTTAAAAAAATAACTAC